TCCTAGAAAAAGTCCAGGCTCCTAAGTGGATCAACAGCGGCAGTCCGGATGAGAAGGAAACTCGATCCGGACCACGGTCCCCCATTTAGTGTTGCCTGGACTATAAAGAATTATTTTTATACCTTTCGGTGTTGTTGGAGAGTTCCACTCACTTCCTGTCTGGTGAAACATCAGCAGGACAGGAAGAGGGTGTAAATATCTCTAATGAAGCCTCGGATAGCAGTAAAAACCCATGGAATGGTGGGAGAGCCCCTTTCCTCCAGGGTTGATTCTGGTCTGGTGCACCAGGCTTGTCCCCAGCTGAAGCCAAGACTCTCCCTAAGTTCCAATGTCCATCTGATTTGAATGAGGCTGCATTCGTCTGGCCTGGTGCTGGGAGGCACAAGGAGCTCGCGGTGATGTGTCCCCTGGAACTGGGAGGTGCAAAGAGCACGCGGTGATGTGTCCCCTGGAGCTGGGAGACGCAAAGAGCACGCGGTGATGTGTCCCCTGGAGCTGGGAGACGCAAGGAGCTCGCGGTGATGTGCCCCCTGGAGCTGGGAGACGCAAGGAGCTCGCGGTGATGTGTCCCCTGGAACTGGGAGGTGCAAAGAGCATGCGGTGATGTGTCCCCTGGAGCTGGGAGACGCAAGGGGAGCTCGCGGTGATGTGCCCCCTGGAGCTGGGAGACGCAAGGAGCTCGCGGTGATGTGCCCCCTGGAGCTGGGAGACGCAAGGAGCTCGCGGTGATGTGCCCCCTGGAGCTGGGAGACGCAAGGAGCTCGCGGTGATGTGCCCCCTGGAGCTGGGAGACGCAAGGAGCACGCGGTGATGTGCCCCCTGGAGCTGGGAGACGCAAGGAGCTCGCGGTGACGTGCCCCCTGGAGCTGGGAGACGCAAGGAGCTCGCGGTGACGTGCCCCCTGGAGCTGGGAGACGCAAGGAGCTCGCGGTGACGTGCCCCCTGGAGCTGGGAGACGCAAGGAGCTCGCGGTGACGTGCCCCCTGGAGCTGGGAGGTGCAAGGAGCTCGTGGTGACGTGCCCCCTGGAGCTGGGAGGTGCAAGGAGCTCGTGGTGACGTGCCCCCTGGAGCTGGAAGGAGCTAACGGTGATGTACCCCCTGGAGCTGGGAGGCACAAGGAGCTCGCGGTGATGTGCCCCCTGGAGCTGGGAGGTGCAAGGAGCTCGCGGTGATGTGTCCCCTGGAGCTGGGAGGTGCAAGGAGCTCGCGATGATGTGTCCCCTGGAGCTGGGAGGTGCAAGGAGCTCGCGATGATGTGTCCCCTGGAGCTGGGAGGTGCAAGGAGCTCGCGATGATGTGTCCCCTGGAGCTGGGAGGTGCAAAGAGCTCGCGGTGATGTGCCCTCTGAAGATAGGAGGCGCAAGGAGCTCGCGGTCATGTGCCCCCTGGAGCTGGGAGACGCAAGGAGTTCGCGGTGATGTGCCCCCTGGAGCTGGGAGGTGCAAGGAGCTCGCGGTGATGTGCCCCCTGGAGCTGGGAGACGCAAGGAGTTCGCGGTGATGTGCCCCCTGGAGCTGGGAGGTGCAAGGAGCTCGCGGTGATGTGCCCCCTGGAGCTGGGAAGTGCAAGGAGCTCGCGGTGATGTGCCCCCTGGAGCTGGGAAGCGCAAGGAGCTCGCGGTGATGTGCCCCCTGGAGCTGGGAAGCGCAAGGAGCTCGCGGTGATGTTCCCCCCTGGAGCTGGGAAGCGCAAGGAGCTCGCGGTGATGTTCCCCCTGGAGCTGAGAAGAGCATAGAGCTTGCGGTGATTTGCCCCTGATGCTGGAAGGCGCAAGAAGCTCACGGTGATGTGCCCCCTGGGGCTGGAAGGTGCAAGAAGCTCACGGTGATGTGCCCCCTGGGGCTGGAAGGCGCAAGGAGCTCACGATAATGTGCCCCCTGGAGCTGGGAGGCACAAGAAGCTCATGGTGATGTGCCCCCTGGAGCTGGGAGGCACAGTCTCTCTTCAGGAGAAGCCCTCACCATCATACAAAAAGATATTGATAAGATAGAATGAGTCCAGAGATGGGTAACAAAAATGGTGGAATGTCTTATCAAGAGCGACTTCAGGAACATAACATGTCCAGTCTGGAGGAAAGGGAGAGGGGAGACATGACTTAAACCTTTAAATACATCAAGGGGGTGAATGAGGTTCAGGAAGGCAGGATTTTCAACATGAAACCAAAATCAAGAACACGAGGACATGGCCTCCAACTAACTGCAGGAAAGTTCAAAACTAATCTCAGAAAGTATTATTTTACCGGGAGGGTAGTTGATGCTTAGAAAAAACTTCCAGCAGAGATAGTAAGTCAGTCAACAGCTTCAAACATTCTTGGGACAAGCATAGATCTACTGTATGCTCAGACAAAAAAGTATAGATCTAGGTATAAAATGGCGCACCTTGCCTCTGTCTGCCGCCTGGCACCCCAGGAGATTCAGGGTTAAGGGTTCTCCTTCTTCGGAGGACTGGCCATACTGTACTCTCTGTGCACTTTTGTGTGCTGTGATTTCACTGTTGACTTTTTTTTGTTTCACACAAAAGGAGCTTCAAAACAAACAAAAAAATGATATATATTTTTTTTGCCCTGTGGTGTGTTTACATAAAGCACATTGGTGTGTGTCACTTTTCCAGTTAACATGCGTTGTGTTAGGCCGTGTTCACACAGCGTTCGCTATGCCCGCGCAGTGTGGTCAGTGTTTATCTACATAGGGATGCACAGGTGTTGTGTACATCCTGACAAAACCAGATACACGTACTGTCGAAACGCGTCGACATCAGAATGTCTTGACGTCATCGAGGCCGGGCCTCCGAACCGCAGAGTTTCAAAGGAGCGCGATTCAGCGGACAAACCAAGGGACATTCACATGCGGTCAACTATAGCCTTTACCATCCACCCATATGGGACACATTGTTATGGAGAGCTGCGAGTAGTCGGGTTCAGCTGATGACAGAGAGGCAAGTTGCTTAGTTTAACTAATTCAGCTCTTTGGAAGTACTATGTACGTTCAAAGAGTGAACCGTTAATCAAAAGCCGATTTCTGAAGTAGCAGCCACCAGCTTGTGTGTTTTTTCTTCAGCCCTTCAAAGTGAAAGTGATGCAGCGGCTGTATAGCCACCGATCATTTTCACAGAGCCATGAAGCTCTCTACGCACTGTTGTTGGGCTCATCTGAAGGCCACACCAAGTTTGGAAGTCTTTAGCTATTGACTCTGCAGACAGTTGGCGACTTCTGCGCACTGTGCGCTTCAGCATGCGCTGACCCTGCCCTGTCATGTGACGTGGCCTACCACTTGGTGGCTGAGTGGCTGTTGTTCCCAGTTGCTTCCACTTTGTTATAATCCCACTAACAGTTGAGCGTGGAATATTTAGTAGCCAGGAAATGTCACGGATGGACTTATTGCCCAGGTGACCACCTATCACGGGACCAGGGGCGGACTGACAACTCATGGGGCCCCCGGGCAATAGGGGATCATGGGGCCCCTGTGTTCCTGCCCACACTCAAAGCACACCCAAAAAAGCCTATAAAAGGTACCATGGGCATTTCATGGGGCCCCCTACAGACCCCGGGCCCTCAGGCAGTGCCCGAATACTGAAATGGTCAGTCCGCCCCTGCAAGGGACCACGCTTGGAGTCACTGAGCTCCTGAGAGCGACCCATTCTTTCACCAATGTTTGTAGAAGCCGTCTGCATGCCTAGGGGCCTGACTGTATACACCTGTGTCCATGGAGGGGATTGGAACACCTGAATCACATGATTGGGAGGGGCAATACTTCTGGCAATATAGTGTATCACCTCTGATGACAGGAGATCTATATACAGCCCCCTATATCCGCCTCATGGAGGTCACAGCACTGAGTACACCGGGGGGAGGCTCTGACCGGAGAACTATAAACAGGAAGAAGCGGTATACGAAGTCACTCACCCGCCACACACCGGCCGCTCCCCGCTCACCCACGTGACTCCCCGCTGCCCGCCCGTCACCTAGACAACGGCTGAGACTACGGATCCTGGGAGGGGGCGGGGCTGTACGAGCTCAACGTGACATCGCTGCGCGCCTTCTGCCTGTCACATCGACTCACTGCGCCCTCTATACGTCACATCGACTCACTGCGCCCTCTGCCGGCCATACAGACTCACTACGCCCCTCTGCCGGTCATACAGACTCACTACGTACCTCTATCCGTCACATCGACTCACTGCGCCCTCTGCCGGCCATACAGACTCACTACGTACCTCTATCCGTCAGATAGACTCCCTGCGCCCTCTGCCGGCCATACAGACTCACTACGTCCTCTATCCGTCACATCGACTCACTGCGCCCTCTGCCGGTCATACAGACTCACTACGCCCTCTATCCGTCACATCGACTCACTGCGCCCTCTGCCGGTCATATAGACTCACTACGTCCTCTATCCGTCACATCGACTCACTGCGCCCTCTGCCGGTCATACAGACTCACTACGTCCTCTATTCGTCACATCGACTCACTACGCCCTCTAGCCGTCACATCGACTCACTGCGCCCTCTGCCGGTCATACAGACTCACTGCGCCCTCTATCCGTCACATCGACTCACTGCGCCCTCTGCCGGCCATACAGACTTACTGCGCCCTCTGCCGGCCTTACAGACTCACTGCGCCCTCTGCCGGCCATACAGACTCACTACGCCCTCTATCCGTCAGATAGACTCCCTGCGCCCTCTGCCGGCCATACAGACTCACTACGCCCTCTATCCATCACATCGACTTACTGCGCCCTCTGCTGGCCATACAGACTCACTACGCCCTCTATCCATCACATCGACTTACTGCGCCCTCTATCCGTCACATCGACTCACTGCGCCCTCTGTCCGTCACATCGACTCACTGCGCCTTCTATGCGTCACATCGACTAACTGCGCCCTCTGCCGGCCAGAGAGACTCACTGCGCCCTCTAGCTATCACATAGACTCACTGCGCCCTCTTCCGGCCATAGAGACTCACTGCGCCCTCTATCCCTCACAATCGACTTACTGCGCCCTCTGCTGGCCAAACAGACTCACTACGCCCTCTATCCGTCACATCGGCTCACTGCGCCCTCTATCTGTCAAATACACTCACTGCGCCCTTCACCTCCGCAACATCTCCAAGATACGCCCGTTCCTAACCCCGAAAAAACCCCTAAGCAATTCATCCACTCCCTTATTATATCTCGCCTTGACTATTGTAATTCCCTGCTCATTGGCCGACCTCATCGCAGGCTATCCCCTCTTCAGTCTATCATGAATTCCGCTGCCAGACTCATCCACCTTACTAACCGTACTATATCCACCACCCCTCTCTGCCAATCCCTCCACTGGCCTCCACTCAGTGTCCTCCACCCCTCTCTGCCAATCCCTCCACTGACCTCCACTCAGTGTCCTCCACCCCTCTCTGCCAATCCCTCCACTGGCCTCCACTCAGTGTCCTCCACCCCTCTCTGCCAATCCCTCCACTGGCTTCCACTCAGTGTCCTCCACCCCTCTCTGCCCTGCCAATCCCTCCACTGGCTTCCACTCAGTGTCCTCCACCCCTCTCTGCCAATCCCTCCACTGGCCTCCACTCAGTGTCCTCCACCCCTCTCTGCCAATACCCTCCACTGACCTCCACTCAGTGTCCTCCACCCCTCTCTGCCAATCCCTCCACTGTCCTCCACTCAGTGTCCTCCACCCCTCTCTGCCAATCCCTCCACTGGCTTCCACTCAGTATCCTCCACCCCTCTCTGCCCTGCCAATCCCTCCACTGGCTTCCACTCAGTGTCCTCCACCCCTTTCTGCCAATCCCTCCACTGGCCTCCACTCAGTGTCCTCCACCCCTCTCTGCCAATCCCTCCACTGGCTTCCACTCAGTGTCCTCCACCCCTCTCTGCCAATCCCTCCACTGGCCTCCACTCAGTGTCCTCCACCCCTCTCTGCCAATACCCTCCACTGGCCTCCACTCAGTGTCCTCCACCCCTCTCTGCCAATCCCTCCACTGGCCTCCATTCAGTGTCCTCCACCCCTCTCTGCCAATCCCTCCACTGGCCTCCACTCAGTGTCCTCCACCCCTCTCTGCCAATCCCTCCACTGGCTTCCACTCAATGTCCTCCACCCCTCTCTGCCAATCCCTTCATCCACTGGCTCCCAATTGCCCAACGGATAAAATTCAAAACACTGACGTATAAAGCCATCCATAACACTGCCCCTAATTACATCACCGACCTTGTCTCTAAATATCACCCAAACTGTACTCTCCGCTCCTCGCAAGACCTCCTACTCTCTAGCTCCCTTGTCTCCTCCTCCCATGCCCGTCTGCAGGGTTTCTCAAGGGCTTCACCCACCCTCTGGAATTCCCTACCCCAATCTATCAGACTATCGCCTTCTCTGCTCACTTTTAGGCTCACTCTGAAAACCTCTCTCTTCAGGGAAGCCTTTCCCGCCCTCAGCTAATACTGGAATACTCCACTCTTCCTACCACTCCATCCCCCACAGCTAATTACCTCTTGTACCACTAGCCCCTCCCTCCTAGATTGTAAGCTCCCAGGATCAGGGCCCTCCTATCCCTCTTGTATTGAACTGTATTGTTACTGTAATGACTCCCTCCATAATGCAAACTGTCGGCGCTATATAAGTCCTGTATAATAATAATAACTAGAAAATCTACAATTTCTGGGGAAATTGTGTGAAGTGTTCTTGCCTCCACCAGTAGTCTACAACTGGAGTGGGCGGAGTAACTGTGAAAAGGTTGGATTGGGCAGAGTAACTTTATGGAGTGGGCGGAGTAACTGTGTGGAGTGTTTGGAGTGAGTAAAGATAGTAAACATGACACTAACCAATCGATTGACCAAATTTAAAAAGTGCACAAAGCAAGCTTGAAAGCTCACACTGTAGCTTTTGTCACTCTGCTGGCTGCTCACACACCTGGGTCCCTATGGCAACTCACTCTACAGCCAGGACTGAGAAGAGCGGTTAAAAACAAACTGCTCCAACTTGCTCACTTCACTGGCAGTTGCCATCTTCAAACGGTTGTAGTTTAAAAATTGTAAATCCTACACCAAAGAGCTTTATATTGTGAGAATCACAAGACCCAGACCTACATTTTGATGCATAGTGTGTCTCTGAAATATTAAAAATGAAGGCACAGTCGCAGTTTAAAAATTTCCCTTGAAATTTCAAGTGTCTAGAGTGGAGTTTCAATGAATGTCAATGGGAGTCATGAGTTGCAAACAAATGGTCATATTGTGAAAACTGTCAGGACTGTGGCTTAGCCGTGGACATTTTTAGTGACAGCAGGGTTAGCTGAACGTTTTGATATAAGATTTGTGTAGATGGGCTTGACAATGAGGGAGTGATGGCAGTTTAGAAATCATGTCTTGATTTTTCCTTCCACACTGTAGCTTTGTCAGCTCCCACTGAAGTTGCTCCATTCATTCCTAAGGGAACATTTCACCACAAAAACCGCGATATTTCGTGAACCATTCGGGGAAACGTTCCACAATGTAATAGCAATCCGATCGGGAACAATCCGCACGTTTTGATATATTACTATATATCAACTATACTATATACTATATTATGTCTTTGTAGTGTAAAAACTGTGGGAGGAGTTAGCGTGGCAAATTTTGCTATAATAATAAGAATAAGAATATATTTGTGAGATAACAATCAGTGTTCTTGGAGGAACACTTAATAATACAGCAGGTTACACAGGATCGCTATTACATCTGACATTACACAGCTCCATTACCTGCCCCCATCCCCTCCAATGACTGCTCAACTCTTGGAAATGTGGATGGGGGGGGGGGGGGTAATGAGGCCATGTACCATTAGATGTAATAGCAATCCTATGTAACCTGCTGTATGGAGGATCGCTGTCATGACAGGAGGGGGAGATCACAGAGATCCCGCATCTCTTCACTATTCCTGTTGTTCCCTCATGTAAGATTGGGGGAGGGGGAGCTTGTGAAAGAGGGGTAGGGGGAGCTATTTGTGCTGGGAAGAGTAATTGAGGGGGCAGGGGTGCATTAGGAGGTAGGATTGGGGAAGATTTGTGCTAGGAGGGGGGAATTGGGGGGCGGGTGGATTTGTGCTAGGAGGGGGATTTGGGAGGGGGGTGGATTTGTGCTAGGAGGGGGGAATTGAGGGGGCAGGATTAGTGTTAGTAATTGGGGGTGATATGTGGTACTAGAGTGATTTGGGTATGCAGGGATTTGTGCTGGGAAGGGTAATTTGTAGGCAGTTGTGCTAGGAGGAGGAATTTGGGGGGATTTGTATTAGAAAGGGGGATTTGTACTCAGTGGAATATTTGTTCTAGGAGGGGGGGATTTGGGGGAGAGAGTTTGTTCTAGAAATGGAGGGAATTTGTACTAGGAGGGGGGGATTTTAGGAGAGAAGTTGTACTAGAAGGGGGGATTTTAGGAATTTGTACTAGGAGAGGGGATTTTAGGAGATAATTTGTACTAGGAGGGAGGATTTGGGCAACGGTGCTGCTGCTGCCATCCGCCAACTGGCGCCTTATGTTTTCCGACCTTGGCCTTGGGAGCCTGCAGTATGTCTTGTTTACCCAGTAAGGGCCAGTGTGGTCTTCTCTCTGGGACTCTGAGCTTGTGCCCTCACTGGGCTGCGGACGTCAGTGCGCGGGTGGGCAGGGCGGCGCCGCGCACTCGTGAGGCCGGGGGACCGCCATTTGCGGCCATGCTGCTTGTGCATCAGGGGCTCATACACTTTACTATATTTGGTACCAGAGACAGAAGCTCATTGGTGTGTGGCATTTGATCACTACTATTTCAATTTGATCTCTGGCACATGCACTCCTCTTGGATTATTTTGAGGTGATTCCATGTGATATACAGAGGCACTATTGGTGAGTACTCTGCAATGCTCTTATATGCTCCCTTTTTGGAAGGATAATTTTGTTTGTTTGTATACTTTGTATATTTTTAAAAATATATTTTTTTAATATATTCTTCAGATTTTTTTTAACATAAAAAAGTCATTTTAACATATATTTTTTACATATATTTGTAAATGCATTCCAAAAATGTAGATTTGTATTTTTAAAGACATACGGTATATTAGAAATGTATTTTTAACAATATGTTTCATATATTTTGTAATAAATATATTAATATATATATATATACACACTGTATGTTTTATTTAAAAAAAGAAAAAAAAAAATTATATATATATATATATATATTAGAGATGAGCGAAGTATTCAAAAATTCGATTCGACTGATTCGGCGAATTCGTGGACAATATTCGATTCGAGTCGAATATATTCGCTGTGAATTTAACTTAAAAAAGGGTGTTTCTAGGCTTCAGAGAGACTTAATATTAGTGCAGAACACTGTACCTTTAATTTAAATGCCCTTGGAGTCTGCTGGGGAAGAGAAATAATACTGTCAGTCAGTATGACATGCAGATGAGTGCCGTCGATCTTAGAATCACCGCACATTTCACTCATTTGGCCAGTCACGGGGCCAAAACCAGTGTTTGGAGCCACAGTGTGGCGGGTGGAGGCAGCAGCAATGGGAGGCCATACAGCAACCTATGACAAAATGGAAACCAGCAGGAGTGTGAGGAGACCTCAAAGTGGCACATGGCAGAGTGGAGCAATGGGAGGCGGTACAGGGACCCAGGTCACACTGTGGGCCCAGCAGCAGCGTGACCAGGCGGTACGGGGGCCCATGGCCGATTTGGGGCCTGGCAGCACCTATGGGAGGCCTGTAATCTGCCAGCAACCTATGACAAAATGGAAAACCGCAGGAGTGTGAGGAGACCTCAAAGTGGCACATGGCAGAGTGGGAGCAATGGGAGGCGGTACAGGGACCCAGATCACACTGTGGGACCA